CTCGTCTGCATTGGCATCTGCCTGACAACCATCCACCATATACGGGTACGATATTCTCTCCTCCCTTGAACCAAACAGCTGCAAACCTGGTTTCAGCTACAGTTTATTCTACGGTATGTTGCTTCCCTTGTTTTACTGCTTTGGTTGGCAAGTCTCTAGGACTTGATCATTACTGCTACCATGCATTTTATAAAACCAGAAGTTCTATTTCCATTATGCCAAAAAAAACTCTTTACAACACAGCCTTTTGCCTAAGGCAAAGGACGTGAATGTGTCTTGTCGACCAACAATACAGTTTGGGAATGCACCCATTCCAGCAAGGAATAACAGCCATCCCAGCAAGGAATAACAGCCATCCCAATCCTCCCAAATCAGCCCATCCACGCACACGAACACGACACGGGGGAGGAAGAACTGGGACTCCCAGCCTGGGGACTGGGATGACGGCAGAGTGAGGGAGAGAAGCGTGAGTCTGCGTCATCAGCTACTGCTGGGGGGCTGGTTGGTCCGGGAAGGAGAGGCGCTTCATGTGCTTCTCATGGGGCGGTACTTGAGCTGGGTGGCGAGCCCTGCAGCCTCGAGCAGCTTGATGGTGTACCACGTCATGTCCACCTGGTGATTCTCCAGCCCATGCCGGCACGAGTACTGGAACGCGTGGTGGTTGTTGTGCCACCCCTCGCCAAACGCCAGCAGCCCCACCCACCTGTCGTGCAGGCAATAGGAGGGATAGGAGGGAAGGAAGAGTGAGCCAACGGGACGTTAGGGGGAAGAGAGCAATGTGACGTTTCCATGTAGACAGACTCGAGTGCTAACTAGAACCAGGAGCATGTGCCATCCAAGCTGGGTAACACAAACTCCCTCGGAGTCCTGCTGAATCTTACCACCCCCCAGACCCGCTCACCCAGATCCGACTAAAGGCTAGCCAACAGGCTAAGTGCTGAAGGCGTGAGCACACTCTGCTGCACATGCTCTTGCATCTGCCACAATAGAGACACTTGACACACAGTCTTGACCCACTGAGCGACTGAGCTGAAGCTTAAGGTGCATAGGCCTCAGCTCACTTAACTGCCTTCCCAACAAGCCCTTAACGAATCTTCACAGGCCATATTGACTGTAGGTTGGGGGGAGGGAGTTGTCGAAAGAGACATTGCAAGGCCTACCAGTTGTTTCGCGAAAGGTCGCCAGTGTTCCAGGATTGGTAGCCCCACACGTGCGACGCGGAGTTGACGAACCATGTGATGTGGTACACCCACACGGCGCGCACGCCCTGAGAGAGACAGACGTGGACAACAAAAGGAGAATAATACAACCGTTATAGCAACGAAATTTCGACCATTAGTTGCCTTTGGAAGACCTGATAAAGGACTGAAGAGAACCCAAGGAAGAAAGGATGAATCAAAGCTGCAAAAAAATTGAAGGACAGTTACTAACCCCATACGACCCAAAGGATGAGCCAAGGTTGCACAAAGACTCGACTCGAAGGACAAGGCCAGCTCGCAAAAGATTCACGGAGCACTTACGAAGCCCCAGACGACCCAGGGGAAGCCTCCGAGGGCGTAGAGCAGCAGCACGGACGCCACGATGTGCCACACGTAGGTGGCCTCGATGAAGTTGTAGAAGGGATCGTTCTCCATGTCCGCGATGTTGTTGCGCACACCCACCTGGAGTTTCACGTGGTGCAGTACGGTACAGTGCAGAAAAAAAAAAAACACACGGTAAGGAGTCGTCCCTCACTCTACACATGTTTTTCTTTTTACATCCTGCTACATTTGACGTCCATTTTCCGTTCCAGGTTCAACTGCTTCCAAGTTTAAGGTGCGATGTTACGCAAAGGTGAGCTACGCGACAGGGCACACTTAAGAATAATCTTACCCGTTCTTGCGTGGCGACGTCGTCGAGAAGCCACCCCATGTGGCTGTGCCAGAAGCCCTCGTACGGCGTGTGCGGGTCGGCAGGCGTGTCGCAGAAGCGATGGTGATAGCGGTGAGCGCTCACCCACTCCTTGGGGTCGCCCTGCGGGAAGCAACGTGAGACACAAACAGGACGGGGTTCGGACGCCGGACGAGGGACGGTATGGAAGAGAATGATTGTGGAAATGCAAGTTTTCCACAGGAGCGTCACAGGAGAATTGGATAAAAGTAACGCGAACACGACTGAGTGAAAGGGACGAACAACGCGCGAAGACAAAGATCAGTGAGCAAAGAGTGAGCAGCGACGTCGGACGTCGCTGCTCACTCTTTGCTCACTGATCTTTGTCTTCGCGCGTTGTTCGTCCCTTTCACTCAGTCGTGTTCGCGTTACTTTTATCCAATTCTCCTGTGACGCTCCTGTGGAAAACTTGCATTTCCACAATCATTCTCTTCCATACCGTCCCTCGTCCGGCGTCCGAACCCCGTCCTGTTTGTGTCTCACGTTGCTTCCCGCAGGGCGACCCCAAGGAGTGGGTGAGCGCTCACCGCTATCACCATCGCTTCTGCGACACGCCTGCCGACCCGCACACGCCGTACGAGGGCTTCTGGCACAGCCACATGGGGTGGCTTCTCGACGACGTCGCCACGCAAGAACGGGTAAGATTATTCTTAAGTGTGCCCTGTCGCGTAGCTCACCTTTGCGTAACATCGCACCTTAAACTTGGAAGCAGTTGAACCTGGAACGGAAAATGGACGTCAAATGTAGCAGGATGTAAAAAGAAAAACATGTGTAGAGTGAGGGACGACTCCTTACCGTGTGTTTTTTTTTTTCTGCACTGTACCGTACTGCACCACGTGAAACTCCAGGTGGGTGTGCGCAACAACATCGCGGACATGGAGAACGATCCCTTCTACAACTTCATCGAGGCCACCTACGTGTGGCACATCGTGGCGTCCGTGCTGCTGCTCTACGCCCTCGGAGGCTTCCCCTGGGTCGTCTGGGGCTTCGTAAGTGCTCCGTGAATCTTTTGCGAGCTGGCCTTGTCCTTCGAGTCGAGTCTTTGTGCAACCTTGGCTCATCCTTTGGGTCGTATGGGGTTAGTAACTGTCCTTCAATTTTTTTGCAGCTTTGATTCATCCTTTCTTCCTTGGGTTCTCTTCAGTCCTTTATCAGGTCTTCCAAAGGCAACTAATGGTCGAAATTTCGTTGCTATAACGGTTGTATTATTCTCCTTTTGTTGTCCACGTCTGTCTCTCTCAGGGCGTGCGCGCCGTGTGGGTGTACCACATCACATGGTTCGTCAACTCCGCGTCGCACGTGTGGGGCTACCAATCCTGGAACACTGGCGACCTTTCGCGAAACAACTGGTAGGCCTTGCAATGTCTCTTTCGACAACTCCCTCCCCCCAACCTACAGTCAATATGGCCTGTGAAGATTCGTTAAGGGCTTGTTGGGAAGGCAGTTAAGTGAGCTGAGGCCTATGCACCTTAAGCTTCAGCTCAGTCGCTCAGTGGGTCAAGACTGTGTGTCAAGTGTCTCTATTGTGGCAGATGCAAGAGCATGTGCAGCAGAGTGTGCTCACGCCTTCAGCACTTAGCCTGTTGGCTAGCCTTTAGTCGGATCTGGGTGAGCGGGTCTGGGGGGTGGTAAGATTCAGCAGGACTCCGAGGGAGTTGTGTTACCCAGCTTGGATGGCACATGCTCCTGGTTCTAGTTAGCACTCGAGTCTGTCTACATGGAAACGTCACATTGCTCTCTTCCCCCTAACGTCCCGTTGGCTCACTCTTCCTTCCCTCCTATCCCTCCTATTGCCTGCACGACAGGTGGGTGGGGCTGCTGGCGTTTGGCGAGGGGTGGCACAACAACCACCACGCGTTCCAGTACTCGTGCCGGCATGGGCTGGAGAATCACCAGGTGGACATGACGTGGTACACCATCAAGCTGCTCGAGGCTGCAGGGCTCGCCACCCAGCTCAAGTACCCCCATGAGAAGCACATGAAGCGCCTCTCCTTCCCGGACCAACCAGCCCCCCAGCAGTAGCTGATGACGCAGACTCACGCTTCTCTCCCTCACTCTGCCGTCATCCCAGTCCCCAGGCTGGGAGTCCCAGTTCTTCCTCCCCCGTGTCGTGTCGTGTGTGTGCGTGGATGGGCTGATTTGGGAGGATTGGGATGGCTGTTATTCCTTGCTGGGATGGCTGTTATTCCTTGCTGGAATGGGTGCATTCCCAAACTGTATTGTTGGTCGACAAGACACATTCACGTCCTTTGCCTTAGGCAAAAGGCTGTGTTGTAAAGAGTTTTTTTTGGCATAATGGAAATAGAACTTCTGGTTTTATAAAATGCATGGTAGCAGTAATGATCAAGTCCTAGAGACTTGCCAACCAAAGCAGTAAAACAAGGGAAGCAACATACCGTAGAATAAACTGTAGCTGAAACCAGGTTTGCAGCTGTTTGGTTCAAGGGAGGAGAGAATATCGTACCCGTATATGGTGGATGGTTGTCAGGCAGATGCCAATGCAGACGAGCTTGCAAGGCAAT